CACACACACACACACACACACACACACACACACACACACACATCCATATATACATACACTGTGCAGGTTTATGTGAAATATGCTTTTTCTTGGTTGAGCTGTTTCCTTACAGGATAAAAAATACTGACATTTCAGACAGTTCTTTTTGACTTTTATTGCTTTACAGACATTTACAAAATGGAAAAAGGGCTTTTGTTTATATATTTTGAATCTGTTTTTGAAAATGTATCAATTCCCATGCAGGATTAAACTGAGCACACGAAAACTGGAATCCGTTATCTCTTACKTTTTACAAAAGTGTTTGATATAAACTAGATTATCAAAACCACGGGAATAAATATTTATATAAAATCACTATAAAAACTAAAAGTGTTCATTGCTAAGCAGTACAGAGATTTTATTTTAAAAGTTAATATACAGTATRTACTGTAAAATACAGCCTTCCTTCTCTGTTGTTCTGATGCAACCAAAGGGTTTTATTTCACCGATCATAACTCATATTTTCCATCTGTCATCAGTTTAAAAACACACATGTAAACAGACACAGCATTTATTTAAAATTGTTGGTCTTTTTGCAGGTTCATGGTGCTTTTTTTATTTTTAAAAAAGAAAAAAAAGGAAACAAAATCTTCTTAGGTTTTAGATTTGGGTGATTTTGTTTTCTTAAATGACATTTGATGGATTTGAAGCACATGAAGTCTGGCAACATAAACTATAATTTACATGTCTACAGAGAATTAAATCTCTTACTGGATTAGGCTTTTTTTTTAGTTTCATTACTTTTAAACAGAAAAATAATCTGCTTTGCTGTTCCCTTGACAGCAAACACTTTCCACTGAGCTTTTAAAGAGCATGTGTAAAAACTCTACACAGAAATTACTTCATATTTTTATTCCCAACCAAACCAGCCTGATTGTCACCAGATGTGACAACCTGATGACTCGAAACKACACCTGCCAGATTTTAATTTTAGGGATTAAACAGAGGACTACAGAGTTTTAAGGTACAGGATCTTATTTACAATCAGCATCTGCCTTCCAGTGAAAACGACTCCCCTCTTTTCCAGATTTAGAGTCGAGGCTTAAAACGAAGTGCAAGTGGTGCAAATTTAAGACGGGTTTATTTCAGGCAGTCTAACAAACACAGTTGTCACCAAGTGCTTTACAGAAATCAAACACAAATCGACATTTAAAGAAGAATAATCAACAAAGAAAATGTGCTTACAATTATGTACTCGCTGGCTGTCAGAATAATAAATAAAGGCAGCACAAATGTTGAAACCTTTGACACCAGTTCAGTTCCTTCAGAGGCGTGATTTGGAATCAGTCAGAGTCGTTTTGCTGTCCAACGTTTTGTCAAATATTGCACAACTTCAAGTCAGAGCGAGTCAACTACGCTTGACGATGATGTCAAAGCAGTCAAAGAAAGTTAAATATAACTGGTTTTCCTAGTTTATTTAGTTAAATGGAAGCGTTTTTCAAATGGGGTTTTGTGGAAAAGCTATAAACAATATCTTACCTGTTGTAGACAGATCTTTGACCGGTTTGATGAGCCCATGGCTAGTCTGAGTACACCCAAGATCAAAGTAGATAGGATCTTAAAAACTCCTATCTAAAATATTATGGAGGTTAATTCAAATGTTTATAGCAGAGGTGCCCACCAACAGTTGTCCTGGTTATTAGATTGTAGTTATGTTCAGATTGAATATAAAATTCAAGTAACTACAAGAGACATTTAGATTAGATTTAAGCCCATATCTAGATTTGCACACCTTAAAAGACCCCATATAACCCAATTTTTAAATTATGAATAGTTTTATGAGCCTTTGCTGACATTGCATTGACTTTGCATACATTGAATTTTCTCCATGTCCATGGGCTAAAAAAAATGTAGGCAACCACACTAGCTCCTAGCTTAATCATAAAAATAAAACAAGTTTATGTAAGAAGTATTTGCATTTCTTATWTTATTGCATTTGGCCCGCGACCCTCAGATCGATTTTAATTTTGGCCCTCTTAGGGAAAATGTTTTTTTTAATTTTGGCCCTCTCAGTGAAAATGTTTGGGCACCCCTGGTTTATAGCATTACACATCTGTCCGTTTCACATGATTATTATGGCAAAAATACAAGATTTCTATCAGAAGTGCCCCTATCTGTATACGAGCTAACAGCTAGCTGCTAAAATTTGCAAATATCAATAAAACTCTATGGAAATTAAATGTGCAGTGCATTTTTGACAGTCATATGAAGGTGTAGAAAATACCATTACGTTTTTTTTTTTTTTTCAGCTTGGAGTTGATTTTCTAGAAGGCAGAATCCACTTTGGTGTCAATAGCACTTAAGCTAGCAGTTAGCTTGTCAAAATTAAAGTTTTTTGTTTTATTAAAGTTCACTCATTCACTACATCATATTCAGAACGTAGTAGACTATTTAGAGAATAGGGGGTGTTTTGTAYTTTGAGCCCTACTTGAATCCAGAGGTACAGTCTTATAAAGAAACACAACATCAATATACTGCTAGACAACAAAATGTCTGGTTTTGGCTCAGAAAATGTCATTAACATATGTGTATAAAACATATTTACATATCTTTGTTACACATTTTCCTCTTCGTTTCTACAGCTCTTACTATATTTCAACCTTCAACACAGTRAAATCATCTTTTTCGGTTTGCAGCATGTGTGGAAATAATATAAGCGAGCAGAGCAGCATCATARCGATTTGATGGCTAGTGTTACTGTGATTCAGTGTCTCTTCATTCTCTAAATATAAATTCACTTCACAGTTTTCAAAAAAAAATCTCCAGGCTCCACAGTTCAGACAGAAGTGGAGACAAGACATTTAGATAACTGAAGGCTAAAAATCACAATAATGAGCTGTACTGTAGCATTAGACTTAATTACCCTGCAGTGTTTGCTCAGGCTGCGATGCATTGTGGTCTTTTTCCACCAATAGCATTCACGTTCTTTGTACAACCTTTTTTGAACCACATGAGGAGTTTCTCGGGCACTTTACAGCAGATGAAAAATGATGTTTAGAATTTTTAAGCACTGACAAAATGACTGTATGGTGAATGAGTGGACATCTATGTCTCCAAACTGAGGCTGTTCAAAGATCTGCAACAGGTAAAATATTAACTGTTTATAACATTTCCACTGGACCTTACTTACAAGAGAGTTGAACTTCCGCTTCAAGCCAGCTTTGTGCTGAACATAGGACCTGGAATTCCTAATTTTCATAAAYAAAGAAAGAAAAGCTCAGTAGAAACCTGATGAGACCCTTTAATGAACCACAGTTTCCCATTCGCCCAAATCACCAAAACTAATCAGTGTTGTGTTTTAATAATTGCTGTTCCAAAACTACATGTGCTTTTGACTGAACTGAAATCCAATGATGATTTCTAAACAGGACAGCTTCACTAAAGGATAACAAAACAGCCAGTTAGAAAAGATTTTCAGAAGATAATTCACTTATGTGCTTCCATGTCACAGTACACTTGCATCTGAAATGCAACTCCGCTCTACGCTGGAATGAGTCAAACCTGAGCCTTCTTCAAAAGACGGGCGAGTTCAGCGTGTACAGCGTCCAAACAGCATACGATCCTCGAACGGCARTTTAAGAGCCTCCCAAGGAACATAAAACCTTCTCATATCTTCAGATCGTCTATTCTCGTCTTGCTGCTGCTGTGTTTGGCACCGTGGCCGGGCCTCGTCTGCGTCGGAGACCCAGGGGCCGATCCTGCTCCTTTCTTCCCTTTCAGGTCGCTTTCCTCTGGCTTGCTGCTGCTCCTCTCCACTGCCAGGTTGTCCTTATTCTGTTTGTACGCCGCCTTGCTGTGGTACGGGTGGAAGGAAGAGTCTGTCCCCTCAGAGAGAGGGGACAGGCTGTAGCTGGGCACAGGCGGGTAGGCCGGCTGGGCTTGGTGGTGCCCCTGGAAGTAATCCTCGTAGCTCGGCACGAGGGGCACCGCGGTCACGCTGGGATCTTTGGAGATGGTTTCGAGGGCCTGTCGGCTCCTCCTGAAGGTGATGCCTTGGCGGCACTTTGTGAAGCCCAGGTGGTAGATCTCCACCAGGTTGAGGAGCAGCGACACGCTGGCCACACCGAGCATGAAGATGATGAAGATCGTTTTCTCGGTTGGGCGGGATATGTAGCAGTTCACTATGTTGGGACATGGTGGTCTGTCACACGTATACATGGGTTTAAGCTCAAAACCATATAAGAGGTACTGGGCTACAATAAAGCCCACCTCAAAGAGCGTCTTAAAGATCACATTGAAGACATAGGTGCGCAGGAGCTCCCCCTGCAGGCGAACTCGTCCTTTCTCGTCTCGTATGAGAGCCTTCTTGTGGTGAGGGTTCATCATCAAGGCCTGGTGTTCCGGGTGAAGCTCTCGCTCTTTCTCCTTCTCTTTCTGCTTCTCCTCCATCCGCACCAGGTGGAGAATGTGCCCCAGGTAGATGAGGGTGGGCGTGGACACAAAGATGATCTGCAGCACCCAGAACCGGACGTGGGAGATGGGGAAGGTGATGTCGTAGCACACGTTCTCGCAACCGGGCTGCTTGGTGTCGCAGGTGAAGCCCGACTGCTCGTCGCCCCACACCTTCTCGGTGGCGGCGCTCAGGATCAGGATGCGGAAGATGAAGAGGACGGTGAGCCACACCTTCCCCACCACGGTGGAGTGCTCCTGGGCTTTTTCCAGAAGCTTTCCCAGCAGGTTCCAGTCTCCCATGGCTGTGTGAGGTCAGGTCTGGGAGAAAAGAACCACAGAGATAYATAAATGTGATGTAAAACACTGGTTACCTTGAGTCTTTCTATTCTTTTTTTCTTTTCATCCATACCTTTTTTTGGACATGAAACTACTTCATGTTTTGTGATATTTTAACCACTCAAATGTCAAAATGTTTATTCAAGAAATTCTGGCTATGCTTTTCAAAATACAAATATTTTCCAATAAAATACATTAAGATCTTTATATTTTTCAAAAACATTGTTCTTGTTAAAATTTAGCATGTTTGCTCTGTTTTTGTCTTCCTATGCTAGTGATTTGTTAATTTTTCATTTAGTGAGAGTTTTGCCAACTTAAAAGTAGCAAAATGCTAGCTAGAAAGTAAAAGTAACTAGCACTAGTCAAAGGTAAAAGTAACTAAAGGCTGTCTTGAAGCTAAAACACGCAAAACCGTGGCAAACCACTAGCTAAAAAGTTAACATAGCACAACTATTAAAACGTAAAAGAAGGTAAAATCTGTATGCTGAAAGTAATAAAATACTAATATAAAACCACCAAAATCCTGTTTGAAAAGAGAGGTGAATGCTAATTGAAAAAGCAGTAAACCCCTAACTGAATTTAGAAAAAATAATTGAAGTTACGCTCGTTTTAACTTTAGACTAGCAATTTTTTTCCATGTTTTAGATAGTGTGTTGCTAGCATTTGTTAGTATTTTGCAGCTTTTACCTTTTAGCTTGTGTTTTGCACTTTTTAATTTTAGCTAGCAAGTTGCTATCTTCAGCTATTGTTCTGTTTATTTTTTAATTAAATTTTTTTTTTAGCTTTAACAACTTAGTTTTGGCTTCAGCAAACATCATCACTTGCCCATACATGTTGTGGTGGAGACAGTTTTTTATTGGGGTGGCCAGACTGGGACCCACACAGGGGCGGCCTAGAAAATGACTTTTTTTTTCTACATGGTGATTTGTTAAAAATCTAATCTTGTCTCTTGATCATTCTCTCATTTATTTACATGAGCAGTGACTATCATGCAGAATTACATAATCGTACATGTCAACCTCTTTGGACGTTTACCTGTATAAAGAGCCCTAAAAATCCATAAATTTTGCAAAAAATCCGTACAACTCGCACCCGCGGGGTGGGGGTCAGCTGCGGACATGAAAGCGCCTGCTGCGAAGCAGGAGGAAAGGAGAGAGGAAAAAGTAACTTATTTCAAGCAGCAGAACAGTTTGGAAGATGGCTGTTGGATGTTATTTATTGTTTTTTAAATCATCCCACAGGCTCTGACATGTTAGATAAATTTGAAAATGAGGTTTTTAAAATATYCGTAAGACTTGAAAACATCCGTGAGATTGCTCTATACGTCTGTATACCTGCAAAACGACGTAAAATCCTTRTAAGTTACGGACAATCCTCTCAAGTTGACATGTATGCATAATGAGAATTATCTATTTGAGAAGTGCGGTTGAAATGAACGGAGGATGTGGCCACTGGGGTGGCCGAAAATCTTTCATTGGTGGTCTTGGGCACCCCTTGTCACCCACTGGCTCTGCCACTGCATTTCTGCTGAATCATCTCTAGTTTGATCATCTTTCTATACAAGTTCATAAGATAGTTAAACATCTACAGGAGTTTGAGCTTCAGTGATCCTTGATAAGATGCCCTTCCTTACCAAGGTCAGACGTTCTTAGGGGAAACAAGTCCCTAAGGAGCCAAGCTGCTAACTGAGGATTCAGACAGACGGGCGCCTCAGCAGCTGAGAAGGTAGTGGCCTTATTTGTGTGGATACAGCAGGTTTATATTTACTTTAGAAGGGTATATATCTGACATGTGTAGACAGAAGCAAAGCAGGTTTCAGCCAGGATTCTCAATGCCCTGTCCTTCACGACCCAAAAACTGTGGCAACACAACTGTCAGGATGTGAAATCAAACCCCATGAAGATGTGATGGAGGAGTAAATGAGGAACAGTTGAGTAATGTGATTCCTGTCATCCTCTGATACCAGATATGTCATAAATATATTCCTCTTCTGATGAATATGTTAGCAGGACAGGAAGTTCAACATGTTCGATCTAAAGGGACGTTCTGACAGCTTATGATAACTGAAGTTTTGGGAGCTTCTCAGATTTTCATTGTTTTTTTTATATCAAGGGGACTAATTCACTATAACTGAACAGACTTGTATAGTGTTACAGTATCTGCATGTTTTTGTAATAATATTAAAGCCCATCACCAGGAATTGTGGGCCATCATGTAGCTGCCTGTAGTTTTGTGTGCATGCCGGTTTCTTTTTCTGYCTATTGGCAAAATATCTCATGACTTACTCAGCGTATTTTAACAAAACACTCAAAAAGTAATCACTGGATGATACTCCTGATTAACCTTTAGTGTCAACTTGATTGAAGATGTTCAACACAGCTAATTAACTTTATCAAACACAATGGGAGTCCGTTTTACAGATTGTGAGCTAAAATATGCCATGGCAGTAGCTATAAGAATAAACCCCAATGTATATGTGACAGATATTTATGTCAGTTAAATGATTAAAGTTGTATTTTATTGATGATATTTTAATAAGTATAGATGATTYGTGCCATGTCAAGGAGGACTGATCCATGTTCCCAGTTTAATTTATTATTTTAATAGGTGAAAGGAAGGTGGCCATTTTAGTGATTATTTTTAGTCCAGATGACCCTGCTCATTTGAGCTTTTATAGATTTTTTTAAAAGAAAATGCAAGAGTCTAGAAACACTGTTTTCTTTTTCTCAGACTGATCCAGACCAGAAAAACACTTAAAATCTAAATTTCAGGACTGCATAGGAATCTTAAACAAAAAACATCAGGAAGTCTGATATCTTCATGTGGTGTTTAGTCACTAAAAATAAAAAAAAAGTAAAAATGACTTGTGAAATTAAAACCGCTGTGAGCACAATGTGAAGCACACAGCCCGCACAAATAAAAACTCACATTTACTGGAGAAATGGACCATGTCAGCTCATGTGTCTCCTGCGGTGAAGCTCTTCGTGTGTTGGAGGGTCCATGAGGCCGCTGTGTTCTCCCACAGACGGGCCTCGGCCCAGCGCTGATCCCAGTGCCCAGAGCAATGTCCTTGAATGGACAAGGAGAGTGGACTCCTGCTGGCAACGAGCTCTGCTTCACGCTGACAAACTCTCTGACTCGGACGTCTGTCTTCAAAGTTCAGCTTGGGCAGAAACCAGCACTCAGACCCCCCCTGGCCYCAGGTTCTTCTGTTGACCACCGCCACACACACAGAAACCCACAAGAACCACACTTAATCATGTCCACTCTGCCCTCCTTCAAACCCTCCCACTCCTCTGTGGTTAAATTTGGCACAGTGGACACTCTAATGTAAACTTTCAAAGACCATCCACTTGGCCGTTACACTGAGTGACAGGGAGGCTAACCAATGATGTCTGTTTAGTCCGTGTAGCCACAAGAGCCCCTGGGGTCTAAATATAGCATGGAGGGGGTCTTTCTCCTATCACTAAGGATGGGTGGGCAAGTGGCATGATTTAGAGATGAGCAATCAGGGGCATCTTCAAGTTAGTCACTGAAATATGGCAAAAAAGAAAAAACTTTTCTAAGAAACCTTACATTTTAGTTGCTGAACTGCATAAAACAAATTACAAAACAACAACAACAACAACAACAATAATAACAACATTTTCTTTGTTAGGTTTAAAATAAAGTCAACTGATAAAGCATTTTATTTCCTTATATTATCTGGGTTGTTTACCTGGCAGTAAATTGTTGCATTTATTCATATCAATAAATGCTTTGCGTGTTACATTACGCATATAACAGGTTAATTCCAGACCAAATTATTTACAAAATCAACATCCGGTGCTTTCAGAACATTACACTTTCAGAACCAGGAAGATGCTGAACAATAAAAATGAATGCACACCCATAAATATATGACATCGCCTTGTTTAAAAGGTTGCAGATGGAAATTTAAACCTGTTATCTGTTAAAAAAGTTATGTCCACTTTAAATGTTGGAATCACGCAAAAGAACTTCAAGGAAGCAATGAAGAAACTAGATGTTCAGAAACAGACAGGATTTAYAGTACTGAGATTTTAAACATTAAAAAAATGAATAAGAGCTGTACTTATTATTTTTTGTCAATTAAAGGATGCAACGTCACACGTCAAATCCTTTCCTTTATTCTTTGATTATAATAAACTAAAATTACAAAGACAAATTAGAACTTTGAGTAAGAGTTGTTTTTTAACAAACGTAGAGGAACACATCTTTTTTTTATGGTGAAAAGCAAAAGAAAATCTGACAAGCTCAAGTTTTTCTGACTTTCCAGTGGATTTTTGGGAGGATTTTTCTATTTATACTTGGCAATGTTTGCCTGAAGAACTTCCTTGTGACAATATGTTTGTATGGAACATTTTACTTGGACAATAATGGCTCTGACAGGCTTAAAAATCCCCCCTTTTAGCAGCTACGTGTGTGTTTTGCTTCCAAAACAATTGGCGAAGACGTAAGTTACACTGACCTTAAAAAAGTGATTTTTCTCAACATTGATTTTGAGGCAGACTGTCAAATCAAATAGTCACATGATTAATATATAATCTACATAATCTCTAAACGCAGAAACGGTCTTACACAACATGCAAATAACATCAGTTATTTGCTTTTTAAAAATAAAGATACTGTATTTGGTATAGGCAGCACAGTGCCTCAGTTAGTGGACCTGTTGCCTTTCAGCAAGAAGGTCGCTGGATCGAAGCCAGACTGGGGTCCTTTCTGGGTAGAGTTTGCATGTTCTCTCTGCACGTGTGGTTTCCTTCTACTATTCGAAAACATGAATGTGAGGCTATTTAACCCCAGGTGTGAGTGAGAGAGTAAATGGTTGTTTTCCTCTGTGTCCCTGTGATGGACTTGCAACCTGTGTCCTCTGCCTCTCACACAGTGATTGATAGATAAGCACATCTGTGATCCCTGTGACCATGAAAGGAAAAAGTGGGTAAAATAATGGATGGATATTTGGTATACAGCTAACTTTCCCCCAAAGTTTACACCATACTTTTTAAAATACCATTTTGTAGTAAAAGTAAGCATAGAAAATCAGTAGAAAATTGTAAAAATTGACTGATTATTTTTAAAAAAGAAAATATTACAGAAGCTACTTTAAATGTTAAGAAAGTTGCTGTCTTCACCGAAAAACAGGACTTTGATCAAATCACAATTTTGTGTCAGAACAGCTGCCAGTTCTTACTAGTTTAGCAAGTTGCATGGGAATTTAGACAAGAAACTCAATTTTTTTTACTCATTCACCTTTATTTAACCAAGCAAATTCCCTTTAGATCACAGATATCTAGATCTGTTTTTCAAGGAAGGCCTGGACCTGAACACAGCCTAACACAGCTGGTTTTTGTCTGTGGGAGAAAACCAGAGTACCTGGAGAAGCACACACAAGCCAAACAGAAAGACCCTAGCTCCAAACCRAGGTTTGAACCCAGGATTTTCTTGCTGTGGGCCAACAGTGCTGACCACTAAGCTGTTTCCCCATTAAGAAGAAAAGGATGAGAATAAATACATATTGATGCAAAGAGTGCAACTTTTACTAAGCAGACTTCACAACACTYTGTGCGTTTTTTCCTGTGTTCTGGATTTCATTTGATTTTTAATTTCACACATTATGCACAAATGCTGGYGGCAATTATGGGTCTTGACGCACCTGCGAGAAACGAAGAAAACAGCTCTCCTTAAAAGTGTTTGTCATACAACAAATATGCATCACTGAACAAAACAAATGAAGGCATCCTGCTCCAAGTCACGGTTTGTTTAATTCGATCAGTTCTCAGCTTGTCAACGTGGTTCTTATAGTGTGCAAAAATAAACGGAAACACCAAAGGCTTAAATAATAATCAATGCAAAGTAAGCACAGTTGTGCAGCAGCACCATCAGATATGTTGGATTTGTGGAAAATGAGCAACATATGGGAAAATGTCCAAACTTTCTTTACAGGCTTYGAATAATTTAGGCAAGAAAAGCAGCTTCTCTTTGTGTCAGTACAAGAATCATTAATGCACTTATTTCATGATATAAATAAAGGGTCAAAATATGGACAAAGATCAAATATACAGAAAAGTTTCATTAATGCAGCGTGTCGATTACTGTATTAGTTTCTGGATGCCTCAAAAAGCAGAACAACTCTCAACCTTCTCTGTTGGGCTTTTCTTGGTCACAGCAAACTTTGACTTGAAAGAATGATCCGCTATCAGCTGATTGATTTCGTTTTGCCTATAAGACGACAACTTTTGACTTATCCAGGCGGCTTTAGACTCATCTTCAGAGCGACCCGCGCACCGCTTGCAGGCCTTGCCTACCAGGTACGCCACCTCGGCCACGTTAAGCAGCACGCACACCCCAGATACGGTCAGCATGAACACGGTAAACACGGTCTTTTCTGTCGGTCTGGAGATGAAACAGTCCACGGTGTTGGGGCAAGGGTATGAGTCACATTTGACCAAACGTACCATCTTAAAGTAAGGGTAGATCAGGTAGAAGATGTAGAGGAAAGCCACCTCAAAGATGATTCTGAAGATGATGCTTATCATGTAAGTCCACCACAGAGCTCCCGTTATCTCAAACTTCTGGTTCTTGATGCGCTCCAGCTCCTTGGGGCTGCTGCGGCCTGTCCTCTTCAAGCTCTTCTTGTCCATGTGCCGTCGGTGGGCTACGTGCATGGCCACCAGCAGCGCAGGGGTGGACACCAGGATGACCTGGAGAGCCCACAGCCGGATGTGCGAGATGGGGAAGAACTGGTCGTAGCAGACACTGTTGCAGCCGGGCTGCTGGGTGTTGCAGGTGAAGCTGGACTTTTCATCCCCCCAAACGCTTTCGGCGGCAACCACCAGCACCAGGATGCGAAAGATGAAGATGACCGACAGCCAGACACGTCCGATGCCGGTGGAGTGCCTGTTTATACCGCTGATCACGGCATAAAAGGTCCCCCAGTTCATCTTCGACTCCAGGTCTGCAAAGAATAAATGGAGGTAAAACTTGCTTAAATCTCTTACAAAGATAAATTACACAAACTGAACTGATAACTCCATCAGCTACAAGAAAACACATACCTAACAGTCCTTAGCAAGCATGTTTCAAAACAATTTTAATCTTCAACTCGTAAAATCTAAATGCCATGAACATTACCATTAGGTTTCACAAGTTTACCAGGCTCAGCCGGCGGTGCAAGCGGCGTAAGCAACGCCGGATCTGAAGATGACCATCTTGAGGTTTTGAGCTGAGCATCAAGCTCGATTCCTAAGGAGCAACTTGCAAGGAATGCCAAGCAGCCTGCTGGCTGTATAAAAGCAGGGGCGATGGCCTACCATCGTCACAAGACGCAACATATCAAAGCCAATTGCAAAACATTTGCAGAGCCACGTGATTTTCTCACATTGYATTAATACTGTACTCCCAAACTGGCCTACAGTCACAGATGGACAAAAACTGCTGCCAATTATTCCAAGAAACTAAAAAGACATAGCACTCACAGGCGTATTTATTGTTAGAGAAAAAATGTATAACCTTACAGGATAACAGCTTTGTGACTACATCTTTTAAAGAAATAAAACATGACTATGAAGTGTAATGACTTGTCTCATTAGCTTACTGAGTATTTGTTGAGTAAACAGGACAGTGGCACATCAGCCACATMAAACCCAGCCTCTACTCACACTGTGTGGGTTAGTACAAAACAGGATGAAGAGGATAAACTTTACCTTCTGCTGTGGTGGTACACAAAAATGTGTACAAAATGGGAAGAAACTGAATAAGATATTGGGTTTTTTAGCGAGCCAAAAGGCTGGATTGAGAACACCGTGCGTTTGGAAAATGCAAATCATTCCTCCACCACTAGCCGCTGCCCTGCACCGTAGCGGTCATATGCTCTTATATAAACCATTTGCATACAATGGTGACCATTATGGGGCCACAACAAGACTCTTTAGAATTCAGATCAAATGCCTCGATTTCCGCCCACCCCGGGGCAAAACAAGGAATCTGTGTGGACACAAAAGGCCTCAAGCCTGCCACATTCTTCATTGTGCTTGGCAGGGCCGTGATGCGAAGGTTTTGACCTGAGACGCTGCCATCAGGTTGGGAAGTGCATCCAACAAGATAGGTGGCACATTATGGTCCTCTTAGCTGTTCAAGTAACTGTTTTGCAACCATGGTCGGGCAGAAAAGATTTTGACAATTAAACAAGAGGTCAACTTGTGACGTGACATTTTACAACTGCATAATCAGCCCGACGGAAAGAACAGCCATACTTATCACCCACCATCGAAACTGTTGTCTGTCTGCAAAATATTTTATGAACTGAATGRATTTTCATGAAATGATCAAAGTAATAGGCTGTACAAACTATTAAACTCTTGGTCTTCAAAATTGCTGATAGCTAATCAAGATTAGTACACATCAAAACGGCTAAGACTCGASTGGTTTTATGTTGAGCTAAATTTTAATGTATTTGCTGTGAATCAACTCCGACTAATACGCAGCATGAGCTCAAAATGTGAGCTCTAAAAGTTCGACTAAAACGGCTACAACTAATTTTCCCAATGAACAAGATCTTAGTTTAAATCTAGCATGAGGTGGTGAGTAATATTTTCCTGAGGAATGCTAATGCTTTTTAAATTGTCTAGGTACATGTCAAATAACTTCWATTGGCAAGCAATGTGATGAATTCCCACAGTTCTTGAGTTAAAGATTTAATTTCATTTTGTCTGACATCTGTGAATGAGCCATTCCAGCCTGTGGATGTGAACCAAGATGAATCACTCTTTGCTCACAAGCTTCAGATCCACCTAAATACACAGTCCAACCTTCACTACCAGGTGATATTTTACAGCTGATCCGAATCAAACCCTCAACAGCAAAGCAAATAAACAGTAATAAAATGATTTCAAGGGAAAACAATGCAGTCATTTGTCATGTCACGCACATTCAGATAACCTACAGCTGCTCTCTGTGAGTGTTTCTGCGTCACGTCTGACCAGTGTGGTGGGAGGGTTTGTGTGGTCTGCCAATTCTTTGAATGAACTAGACCTTATTTACAATTCGTACACAGAAAGAGACAATGAGCGTTTAGCATGAATCATGCAGAAGAGAATGTCTTTATTAAAAATGAAGAAAGAAAAGGGGGTAAATTGAACATAGAAAAAAACTAATCAAGAATTCTAAATGTACAAACCAAACATTGCAGAAAGCAGATGACCTGACTGAACTGGCCCTGTTAGAATAACCWGCACATTGTGTTTTTCTTACTCATGCTTCATCACATCCTGTCGTTTCCAGCATCCCAGAGGAACCTCTGGGTTCTTAAAAAACAGCTTACGTGATTTTTGTGTGCTATACTTTATGCTTTAGCATCTAGAAGGTACTAAAACACAGGCTGAGGAAGTCAGAGACATGCTTACAAAACACAAATGCACCACAAGTGAAGAAAATATAGTGCAAAATAAAAACATACCAAATTATATGTAAATATCAAATGAGAAAATGTTTACATAAAATAAAAACATTTAGTTATAAATATCCCAAAAAGTTTAGATGCTTGAAAAAACTTAAATTATGTAAATTAATTTAAAGACATCAGAGAAAACTGTTGGCTACAGATAATCTTTGTGAAATTTATGGATAAAAATCAAACCTGGAGCAAATGTAGCTGTTTTGTATGTGTTTCTGTATAAACCGCAATGTAAATTCAAAATACCAAAAACATTCGCCACCAATCAAAGATTTGGGACACATTTCCTCATTCGATGCTTTTCTTTTTCTCTACATTGCGAGTTACTGGAGTCATCCAGACTACAAAGGGCCACACAATGAGCCGTGTAGTGAACTTGGAAGTCTAACAAATCAGTATATGTTTGGGATTTTGCATCGTTCAGGGCAATCTAAACAATATGTTATATTTCAAACTATATGGCTCGTTTTACAGTATTTTGTTTTAAATGAAAATATTTCAGATTCAATCACTGTAATTTGTGTAGTTATCTATGTGAACTAAAGGCAGCCTTTACAAAAAACACAGGTGTTGAACTTACATGTCTGCTCAGTCTCCTTCATGAGATTTACACAATAAAAGTAAATCTGAAGTGGGGCCTTGATAAGAAGCACTAATATGGTTTCACTATGTGTTCACTTGTAAACAGCTGGTCAATAAAACCTWAAAGGTACAAGCTACGAATAGCAAAATGCCGGTATGATGCGTGGCATATTTGCCATTATTTTTCATTTACGTTCGCCTTCGTCTCAGAGATGTAAACAGCATCATTTGAGATATTGTGAGAGCRAGGTCTCTTCTTCAAAGAGGCAATTACCCATGATGCCTAGCGACCCCATAAGTAGGCTCCCTAGCCTGGCCTCCGTCACTTTTCGTTTGAGAGAGGAGAGCGAGGGGTAAGTATTGTTGGCACCACGCAGTGGTGGATATGATATGTGTTTGAGATGCTGTCTCTTTCTTTTACAGTGACGTTTGGTGGCGATTTAAAAGCAGCTGACTGCAAATGCAAAAGAAGTAAGCCGTGACTCAATGTCGCAGGTTTAAGTCCAATCCCGTACCCTGATTAGCCACTGGGCTGTCTGGTTGGGATAAGCTAGCTTGCTAAGCGGCGTGTAATCACGTGTCGGCCAGTCCCAGAGTGCATCCTGAGGACTTGGGACGTTTTGAAAAAGAAGTGGATATTGGTGGAGACGTAGTCTCGAAATGAWTGATGATGAGTGTGAAGCCGGCCCGTCTCGGCTCGAGTGGGCGTGCTTGATCTGTTTGGATCAGATTCGGACAATGGAGGTAGGTTTTTGGGGCTTTTCGCCTTTTCGAACTCAGAGTGAGTGTACTCTTGTGTCTGGTCAGATTGGCCGACCGAAGCGTCAGGCTTCCAGTGGTCCGCAAACCTGTGGCGCAGGCAACGAAAGCTAAGCTAAACCTTGGTAAAAGAGGGAGCCGTGTTAGCTCCGAGCTACTTCCGGCGACGGCAGCCGGTTCGGCTCAACAGTCAAAGACACAGAGTGATGTTGTTAACGTGCAACACAAGGCTGATCTGAATATAAGTGAGGTAAAATCACAGCTTGGACTTAATCAGCTGATGTCTCAGCCCTCATCGCTCTCGTCTCGTCGTATGCCAAAGCGCGGTTGCTACTTTGGCATAAAATTCTCAGACTAATAGTTCTGTTAGAGGACCTAATACAGAGGAGTTGTGTGATTTAATTGATCCAGCCTATAATGATGATAGCTGGGAAGTGCCAGACACTGCTAGTGCAGGCGAGCAGGATGGCTCTCAGGCTCCATCTTATTTTGATCCCTCAGCGTTTGCTGAGAATCTGGATGGAGATCCAGAGGAGGTGTGGAGTATTCCACAGGCTGACTCAGAGGTGAAAACTGGACCTGCCATAGCTAATAATTTAGCCTCTATTATGGATTTGGGATGTATAAAAGAATAAGTGAGGACTCGGTGAAGAGTCTTACTGATAAATACCCTCGTCCCAATAATTGTGATTTTAAGCTTTTGGCACCCAGTTAATGAGGAAATTTGGCTGCAAAAAAGGGTCCAGCAGTTTGATTTGGGTTTTCAGAAATTACAGCAGACGTTGGCCGCTGGGATGATTCCTGTACTGCGTTTGGCCTCATTCATGGCTTATCTGCCRGTGGCGCGGAGAGTTCAGCACAAGATGTTGTTGTCTGATGCTATTAGCCTGTTAAGGCATAGGGCCTACTATGCACTCATTGTTGGTGAGACAACGTTATTTAATCCGGCCAAGATTACAAGGAATATACACCTCTTTGTGTCCCATTGACATGCTACTTTCAGCAAAATTGTTTGATGATGACTTGGTTAAGCGGATCAAAGAGATAAATGAACTGGCTAAGGTGTCTGTTGGTTATCCTCACCTAGGTGTTCCTGGGAGGTACAACAACAGCAAGTATAATGCTTTCCAGACTGCTAGAGGAAACGTAAGAGGCCGGCGCCGGATTTGGCGGGGACCGTACTCCCGACGAGGGTCCCAGAGGAGCCTACACCAGCTTCAAGATGGGAGACACCATGGATCAGAGGGGACAGGCTGGCAAACCCCTGATCGTGATTGACAAACGGGTCAGTGGACTACACACATGACTGCTGGTAAACTAGCCTATTGCATAAGAGAATGGGAAAGCWTTACAGCAGATCAGTGGGTTTTGAGCTCTGTTTCGGGCTTAAAATAGACTTTTGTCACTGAGCCACTTCAGCTGTCAAATACCATCAAAAATTCAATTCTCAGAGTATGAGTCAGATCTGCTTGATCTGGAGCATGAGATTTTTAATCTCAGGGTCATGGGTTCAAGTCCCATGTTGGGCGATGCACAGTTCCCTTATGGCTAATGCAAGGTGCAACTGTGTTCAATACTGTGCTATGGTTTCTTGAAGACAGTGTGTACAGAACTGCTGTATCAGCTATGGCAGAAGAAGCATGTACGGCTGCAAATTCAATTCTGTGCTATGGTTAACCTGCAAAATTGCTGTTAGTGACCAGCTTTGCAAGAAAGAATGCAGCAAAATTGAAACTGGCTTGACTGCCTTAAAGAAAACAGAGATGAGCATTTCAAGATGGAGCTGTTTTCACAAAGCTACTAGACATTATCCAAGAGAATGATTATTTCTCATCTCTGGATTTACATAATGCATACTAAAGTGAATTTTTTAATTTCTGAACTCACTAAAACAAGTAAGTTGGGTAAACCGATTCTGGAGATTCTTCTGGAGAGATACTCTAAACCAGAAATTTGTGTATTGGACACATTGTTTGAATATACTTGTCACACTCGGGAACTAAGGACGTCAAGTAGATTGTTGATTTCATACAAGATTTTTTCTGCGGTGTCTACATGCACTATAGCCAGATGGCTATGGACAGTGCTCATTAATGCTGGAATTGACCCCATTTTTACAGAGGAGCTTCTGCTTCAGCAGCATTTAACAGTGGCGTTTCTCTGAAACAGATTTTGCGGACCGCAGATTGGTCTTCAGTTAATATGTTTAAAAAGTTTTACTACCGAGCGTCCAGGGAAGGGACTAAGTTCTCGGATAGAWGTTTGAGTTGTTATTTCAGATGATCGGAATTTTCTTTCTGAAAATAWATTTTGTTGGAATGCATCTCCATTGAGGTTGTGTGGTTGAATCCTGTGAATTAGCCCACACAAGCAGTGTGATTGTCATCAGCTTTGAACATGCTGTTTACATCTCTGAGACGAAGGCGAACGTTAATGAAAAATAATGCCCCCTCATCCCAGCAGGTGTGCAGGATGAGGGACATTATTTGAATTGTAGTGAGCCTGAGGCTCAGAGAACACTCACCACTTTTTGGAGCTAGATTTAGGGGTTGGCAGAAACCCTCCCGTTTTTAAAACTTTGATGACAATCACAAAAGTGACGGAGGCCAGGCTAGGGAGCCTACTTATGGGGTCGCTAGGCATCATGGGTAATTGCCTCTTTGAAGAAGAGACCTCGCTCTCACAATATCTCAAATCATGCTGTTTACATCTCTGAGCCTCAGGCTCACTACAATTCAAATAATGTCCCTCATCCTGCACACCTGCTCGGATGAGGGGGCATTTGTATTGTTGTACCCAGTTTACTAATAATTTCAACCAAAATAAATCAACATAATTACAGACATTCTCTGCTTTTTGTATTACATTTTATTTCGAGCGTAGCATGAGATGAGATATTTTCCCCAGTCAGAATCTTGAACAGCACCTACAAAAGAAGAAAAAGTTAAATAAATAAATAAATAAAAGACAGAGACTTGCATACACAACACCACTCACTAAAGATTCACAAATGAGGAAACTAAATAAAACTCCACTTACTTTTTTTACTTATGGTAGAATTCTTGAGTTTGTCATGCTTCGCGTGTCCATTTTGGGCTAGTCTTAAAGAGAGCGATGCACCCCTCCTGAAAAACAAATTTGCTTTTATTCATTACAACACCGGCTGACAAGATACAACTCCTGGCAAAAAAGTATGGAATCAGCACTCATTCAGACATTTCATTCCGTAAAACAAACTCAGATCAAAACCATGATACAATAATAAGGTCATTCCAAAGTGCAACTTGTTGGCTTTCAGGAACACTCAAAGAAATGAAGAGAAAACTTTGGGGGAAGTCAGTGAATGTTACTTTTATTGACCAAACACAGGGGGAAAAAAATGGAATCACTCAATTCTGAGGAAAAAACTATGGAATCACTCAAATTGGAGGTAGAACATAAGGACACACTCAGTCAATTTCCTTTCCCTAAATGGACACCTGCCTCAGATTAGATCTGCTCGTTAGTCTGCAGTTAAAAACACCTGCAGTCATGACACCTTGGAGGGCTGCTGGACGAAGTGGAGTGGCAAGAACCATGGCTCCAACAAGAGAAATGTCTCTTGAAACAAAAGAGAGGATTGTGAAACCGTTCCAGTGAGATTTATGAAG